CTTCCTTACAGCGCACGGGGAATTACCTATATAGTAGATTATAAGCTCCCAAGAAACGGGAGCTCCCGGTGCGCCCGGGGCTATAGTTATCATTGTGGGCCCATGTGAGGATAGCTTGTTCGCACAGTGCACTTCTCCTTGAGGTTGAGGGATACCTCGCTCTCTCAGGGCAACTGAGCCAAACGCCCCCCGCCAAATTGGCCCAATGGCTAGCATTACTCTCCTTCGCCGCCACCACACCATCTACCCCCCGCATCCTATTGCCTCCCTTGCAAACCCTAGATCATGGCCGCTATCAGCGTTGTTCCCAAACAACGGAGTAATTGTATCTTGGGAAATAAAAAAGAATTGGAATGTGAAGTATTTCTTTCTTGATTCTTTGGCTCGGATTCTAAAACCAAATCAAAAGCTTATGATAAAATGAGTTGTTCTAGCGAGATTTATAATACAAGTAGCATTAGGCTTTGCCGAAATGTAAGGTTTGTATCGCATGTTTTTTCATGAAAGCAGGCTGGCAACGGGATAGATGTTCATATCAGACATTGCCCAAACCCTAGCCCCTCTAAACCTTCGATTCTTCGCCATTTTCACCCAGACGAGTTGGAGAATCTTCTTCGTGGTAAGTTTCTCATCCAATCCTTGGTTTATTTTGTCCGATTTCTAGGTATTTGTCTCGCATTATGAAGTAGATCAGTTTTGGTTTGAAACTAATTGTTGATTTTGAATGATAACATTTGTTGTTTTTACATTGGGTCGTTTGTGAAAGGATCGATGTGGTTGACTAGGAGGGGGAGGGGGTTTGAAAAGGAGATTACAAATTTTAAGCTTAGTTGCCAATTTTAGGGATAAGCGGATAAATAAGGTTCACTAGAAATGCAACTACGTGAACACAACCTATATGGCAAGCAAACTTAAAGCAATGTATGGTAGGCAAAAATCTAAAAAGCAAGCCAACAAATATACAAAGCAAAGAAAGGTGTGGGAAAGGATAAACCACAAGTGAGTCGATGATGCAGATTTTATCCTGATGTTTACTCTTCCTTGGGGAAGAGCTAATCTTCGTAGGAGCGGTGCCAGAGCCAAGGCTTCCGGAATGCCATGAAAGGCTCACCGTATTATCCTCGAGTCATCCCAATGGATGAGCATCAAATCACTTGGGGTCGGTCTTGAAGGAAGGAGTAGGGGGAACACAAATCGGTTTGGTAGGAATGTAGATAAGGTGAATCTCCTCCAATCCCCAAAGAATCAAATTGTTTGGGGTGGATGGGGACGAATATCTCAAGCTTCTAAGGTTTGGCAATGGCAGAGAAAAGCTTGAGGAAGATTAAGTTTTGAGGTGGAAGTAGGGTGGGTATAAATACCCCCAAGAGGCGAGATAGTCATTTCCCAGCCAACCCCTCCAGGCACGCGAACCAACCAGCAAAGCATGGCCTGCCCTGGGCACCTAGGGGCCCAGGATCCCAGACACGCAGACAGATCAGCCGCAGAGCACGTAGAGGGACCGGGCACCCGGAGGGTCCAGGACCACGGACACCCGGGCACACCCAATGATGAGGACACCACCTGCTCATGATTTGACCTGATTTTTTACGATGCAATAACCTCCAAGATCCATCGATAAAAATATACTCCCAATTACGTGAGTGGTATGTTTAACTTGAAGCTGAGGTACCGACAATCAACAGACAACTCCTCGACACACGAGGAACCTTCCGTAGTAGTAGACGTAACCAACACGCAATCTATGAGGGACCTCAAGCCAAATATAACTTTCACGCAGAAAATTCACACAAAACAATAATAACGGCACCTAAAAAGGGCCGCTTGATAGTCTAAACTCTCAAAGAACTAGTCTACGTGCATGGCCGAAATCTGTCCTTTATATAGGCGATGCTAACCTAACCGGACCCTCTCTCCGCTATCTAAACTAATTAAAGATATGAATTAACCTATGGTTGGATGATTAGAGGGACTGTGGTATCCACAGCCCATCAGGGTTCAAGTCCTGATACTCGCATTTATTTCTGAATTTATTTCATAATTTTCGACGATGTGCATTCAGTGGAAGAGACGTTCCCGTCGATGACGAGGTGCCTACGGTGACTTCGTAAATTTCAAGATGATATGCCGGCTCAGTCCTTTGAAAATGCTCATAGAGATAAGATGTGCGTATAATTAAAAAATATTCCTAATTAAATATTCGGACACTTTAATCGCTAGCAATCGATCTTAGACTAGCTCCATACGTAACTAGTAGTACTAGTTGTAGCACTTGTCTAAAACAAAAGGATGCCCTGTAGCCTTGAGACTCTGCAACAACAGGAAATAAACATCACGTACACATACTCCCTCCTTTCATAAAGGAATATAAAAGCGTTTAGATCACTACGTAGCTTGCCTATTTCTCCCCAGTCGATCGAATCACAACTTCTTCGATGGAGTTCTGAAATTTGGTTTAATTTTTTCCTGCCGTGGTTGAATCTGAAGCAACATAGAACCAACTAAAACTTGTTGCATTGAATTACAATGGTCCAAGTTTATTTCCTTATCATTGATGGTTATATCATCCACGAGCAAACATCACCTCCAGGCACCTGGGGTCCAGGACCCGGGCACCCGGACAATGCCGAGACTTGGCTCACATTCTCTCATGACTCCGAGCACCCGGAGAAAGAGGACCCTATGCACCCGGAACTCTAGTTGGGGTTATATCAACTTTGGAAGAACCCTCCCGTAAGGCGTGGAATGTTTTAAAAAATAGTGTGTGTGGAATTTATTCGAGTTCCCCAACTTGCTAATCTTCGCAACTCCTCTTGATAGTACAATTTCTCCTCTAGCTCAAAAACAACCGAAAACATTCCGAGCCACCGGAAATCACCATCTTTTGCCCTTTTTGAATAGGAGGGTCACCGAAGTCCGTAGACCATGGAGAGATACCAATGTCCTGAGATAAACTTGACAACCGTCATTAGTTCCTAGTTCTCACTAATCCTATTGTAATCAACACCAAAATCATAATTGAGTGACAATGCACTTTCAGTTTGTGTGCGATGTACGAATACTCTACCGATGTAAATTTCATGGAGTTTTATCAGTTTTCTAGTGAAGATGAGTCGGTGGTTTGCCAAGAGCAAGGGGGTGAGCGCCGGGAAATGACTTCTTCATGCGGTTCTCACAACCCAATAGTGGTTGCTCGATTTCTCTCGCGTGCTAGCAATCATGAAGCTACAATCATGGTTGATGCTACGTGGCATATTTGGGATGCACGAAATTCTGTGAGAAATAATAGTGAGGCTCCTCAACCGCGTTACATTGCCATGAAAATTCAAGCTTATGCTGACCTCGATTTTCTGCATCTTTACAAATCTGCACCTGAGACTACGCATGAAACCACTATTTCAGTCACGTCTATCTTTCCGCCGCTATCAGGTACAATTCTTTTCATGTCTGATACAACAATATTTGCGAGAAAGGCATCTCTAGGGCTAGTGTTGTTGGCATGGACCATGAAGGGTGTTGCACTGTTGCTTGTTCTAAGCTTTTGCAAGGGGAGTTGGAACCTGAATTCACGAAGGCAAGAGCTCTGCATCGTGCGGTATGTTTGGCTCATGAGTAGAACTATGAGAAGGTAATCTTTGCCTCGGATTGTCTGTCGCTGGTTGAACGCCTCCGTTCTTCGGTACGGGATAGATCGTCTGTCGGTTCAGTTGTAGTTGATATCAAACTTGCATCAATTGGGCTTCACCTCGGTGGCCTTTAAGCATGTTCGTAGGTAAGTCGTGTATGAATTCTACTAGTCTGTGTTTTTCATTCTGCTCCGGATTACATCCTGAAGACTATGTAACTTTGATGCTTAACCAATAAATTGCCGGTGTTCTCTAAAAATAACATCCAAGAGCGTGAGGAAATTGATCTCCCTCCAACAAGGCATCAACCAAAAATACTGCAGGCTGAGCAAGTGCGACATCGTGCTGACGAAGTGCAGGTGGAACACCATACTCACCGAGCATGATTGACTGGATGGCCACATAGAGGATCTAATAAAGTTTGTGTCGTGGGCCCAAAATCAAGAAGATTGTGTCTCTTTGATTTGTAGGATTGTAAAAACCCTGGAATGGAAAAAACATAGGATTTGAATGTCATGATCATCTCAATCCTACAAGATTTTGGGTTGTTTGATTGCATCATAGGAAAAACAAAGGATACTTTTAAGCAGGATTGAGTGGATGCTAGAAATCTATGGAAAATAGTACAAAGAAATCCTTAAGAAAAATTATATGCTTGAATCCTATGAATCAAACAAACAACATAGAAAAAAATTCCTAAATATTCTAATCCACCAAAATTTCTATGAAAATCCTTTAAATCAAAGGAGCCCCACCGGAGGGCATCTACAACAGTGTCTAGTCAGTCATCTGTAAGGGTTGATACAAAGGAATCGTGGGAAGATAAAACAAAGAGAGAAATAATGTAGTGATCTAAACGCTCTTATATTTATTTACAGAGGAAATATGTAAACCTACAAGGAGAAAAGCCTATATAAGTAACACAAATAACTTATAGACGGTGATTTTGCTATTGTACTGGCATTGGGTGTTATGTGTTGCCTTATTTTATACACACAAGCACTGTGGTTATGATTTGAAATAGACTGTTTACAAACAGCTTATTGTAGTATTCGTTATTTACAGACAGCTTATTGTAGTTGGGAGTATATCATTGTCTGTCAGGATAGATTTTACAATATACAAACTATCTTTAAACAGACAAACGTGTAACAGGGGTAAAGCGCGGTAGCACTGCAGAGGCTGATAAAAATGTCTGACAGACATAAAATGCAGACTTATAAAGAAAAATAGCATCTTTTCTAGAGGTACACTACCAGTGAAAGAGCGGGTAAACAAATATTCATACATATACAGTATAAAGAAGAGCCATTTCGAATCTGACTAAAATCATTACCACCATCGCTAATCTGAAGAAACATTAGTTCAGTTCACTCACTCACTGGACGAGCGTTCTTCAGTTGCCGCAGACTTTTCTTCGTCAGCATCGTCTTCCTCCTCGGCCGCGAGCTCCCGCTCCACCTCGTCGCCGACGCGCTCGTCGTCGGACCGGGAGGGCATCGCGAAGCGGCACATCGGGCAGAGCCGGCTGACGTGCAGCCAGCGGAAGATGCAGCGCTGGTGGAAGCAGTGGGAGCAGTCCATCTTCCTGAGCTTCCTGCCTCCGGCCACCAGGTCCTCAAGGCACACCGCGCACTCCAGATCCCGCACCTCCGCCGCCGCCGGCACGAGCAGCCCCGCCATGGAGTTCTTGGAGGCCGGCGGCTCTCTGCGACACTCTGCTTCCGCCTCGAACTCGGTCTCCGCCCGGGCGGCGGGTCGCCTCAGCGTCTCCGCGCGTCTCCGTATGAAGTCCTGGTTACGCGCCCACCACCCGCCGACCCGTTGGGGGCGGACGGCGATGAGGGGGTCGTCGGGATCCCCGCTCGCTGCCTCCATTACTGGATCGATCTGCCGCTCCTGGCCCTGCTTCTCCATGGAGAAATCGGAATCGTAGACGAGAGATAATCCCGAGAGATAGAGTGATGATAAAGGGGAGTCGATCTTTACCAGATTTATTATCCGCTCCTGGTCGGATTCATGCTGGTCTCGGCTTCCGATTCGACTTCTGACGGGGAGTGCCCTGCATAGGAAGGGGATGAACTCTACGCCCTGACTCGTGAGAGACAGAGAGACAGGGACAAGTAGCAAACCTGGCTGAATGGGCCGGTCTTAGCGTGCCGGCCTGATAGCCCATGCGCCCGGCCTGTGATGGGCCTGGCCCGGCAAGTTTATAATCGGGCTGTGCCGGCACGTGGCCCGCCTAGGCTGCGAGGCTGGGTACGAGTGCCAGCACAGCACGACCCGTTTTTTCTATTGTTTTTTTGAGACAAATTTATTTTTATTTTTAATACACCCCAGTAGGTTTAATATAGGTTTGAAATAGCCCAATGGGCTGAATTTTAACGTTGGCTAGCATGCCAATCGGGCCTCTGCGCCAACCCGTGTAACATAGGGGTCGTGCGTCGACCAAGGAGGGTAGCAAGTGTGTCGGCCCGGCCCATGCACTTGTCGTGCCTTCCTGTGTATAACCATGGCCGGGCTGCCCATTTGGCCAGGTCTGGCCCGTAGTATGCAAAATCGGTGCATTTTTTTCCTTTGTTTCCTTTTTGTGTTGAAAACCAATAACTTTTTTTAAAAGGACCTAGATCTATTATATTATAAAGGTTTTTACCACAAATACAATCATACAAAAGCACCTCGAACATAATAAAAATTACATCAAGGTCTTTGAACCGCAAACGACAATTGTTGCCATTAGAATGAGCCGTCGACCCGCCATTGTCCTCGCTCCCCAGCTGGAATCGACCTCACCTTGTCAAGGACAACTGGAAAGTCTTCGTTTACATGTCCCTAGGACAATCATCTCAGAGTTGCAGTCGTCGTCATTGAACTTTGAATCGATCCAAAGAACCTGACACCAAATATCGCCATCACATAGCCATGATAAGGAGCCCTAATCTCGATGCCCAGAGGAGCTCGCATGAATCTACGTCAAAGCTCTATCTTATCCTTATTGACAAACGTACTTGAGGAAGATCGGATCTCGAAAGTCTAACTCGCATAAGAAGATTCGCCATTCTTGAGCGGCGGCGATCAACTTTCTAACCCGTCATATGCAGCCGCTAGGACTGCCAAAAAATGGTGGCGACAACAGACGATTGACTTCAATGATGGTTTCTCGAGTACTTGTCTCGGTTTCCGGGTGAAAACCGAGGTCTGACCCGAGTTGATTATACTTGGGAATGATGATGTTTTTGCGTCATTACCTTGTTGAAGGCATTGCTCGAATATCCTCGGACTAGTTCTTCAAGGTGAAAACCTAGACTCTGGCCTTTCGTGGTTGGATCTGGTGACGGTGTGCTCAAGGATCACTCCCTTTCTGAAGGCGTTATTGTTGAAGATCCATGTTGTCCTTGTTGGTGTAGTTTGTTGATTGCTTTGGGTTTTTCCCCTTGTTTAGGCATACTTTGGCCTTATATGACTTTTGCTACTTCTCGGTGATTTGTGTGTGTTTTTCGAAAAGGGCGCTTTGTTACTTAAAAGATTTAAGCATTACACTCGGCTTCTGCATAACTAAGATGCACATAGCCAAATAAGGTCCTCTCACACAAATAAAAAATAAAAAACGAAATACAAAAAGATCTATATAACGCCTAAAGTGGAGGGGGCCAATCCTAAGATCATGCTTTCATCCATGTTGGGTAAAAGTATCTCTCGCCGTAGCCTTCAATTGTGTACACACATTCGCAAGTAGGTCTTGATTCTCCACGTGTTGTAGAGAGGACCATAAACGAAGAGTCCCGGTACATTTGTAGATAACCTGTATCAGAGAAGTAATTTTACTATTAAAAACCTTATCATTTCTACATAGCCAAAGCGACTAAATAACGGTAAGCACTCCCATCCTGAGAAGAGTTCTCAACATGTGATCTATCCCTTGTAATGAGTTGCCAAATACATTAGCAACACTACAAGAAGGATACAAGTCAGAAACTATCTAGATAACTAACCATATAGAACGAGCCAATTTGCATTGGAAGAATAAATGTTTTATTTGTCTCATCATGATGACAAAAACACATTGCGGACTTCCATGCCAATTCCTCTTAATAAGGTTATCTTTAGTAAAAATAACTATGCGACGAAGATATCATGCGAATATTTTATTCTTAAGAGGTATCTTCATCTTCCAGATCTTTTTATTATTATCAATTGGCACATCAGATTGGAGCAAAGCTCTGTACATAGACTCCACTGAGAATTGACCATTCCCATGTAGGTTCCAACGAAATACATCATACACATGTGACAATTGCACCGTCAATAACCACTAGAGCAGGATGTTCCACGATTGGGAGCCTGGGTCCAATCAAATCTCTTCTGAACGTCACATTAAGTGGAAATAATTTCATTACCTTGGCGATAGTATCACCCTTGTGACGCACAATATTGTACAAAGCTGGATATTGTTTCCGGAGTGTGGCATTTCCTAGCCGCTTGTCCTCCCAAAATCTATTTTCCGAGACGTCCTTGATTAAGAAAGATCCATAGCAGAAGAAATATTTCTTCCTAGCCATTATACCCACCCAAAAGTGGGAATCCTCAGACATACAATATACTTGGGATACTGCCTTGAAACCAACATATTTTCTTTTCAGGAGGGTTTGCCATACACTATCTTTCGTCAGTAATTTAAATAACCATTTTTCGAGTAGGGCCCTATTCTTAAACTCAAGGTCATGAATGCCTAACCCGCCTTGGTCTTTGGGACGGCAAACCACACTCCATTTAGCCAGTCGATATTTTTTATGTGTGTGTGTGTGTGTTGCTGTGGTTGTGTGTATCTCAGCAATGCAGAGACCGGATATGTGCTCACTGTGTTGTATCCCCCGATGTTTTATTTTGAGTAAATAAAATTCATCCTTTGTCCATCGGAGGGAGACGAGCACCAAGACGAAGCTTAGACCTTGCCTTCGCTCCAAGCGCTTCGTCGGCACCTTCCTCCATCCGGGCGGCGACGGCGGCAGCATGGCCATGTGGGTAGGGCTTCGATTGCGGAGGAAAAGAAGGCCACCTTTGTTTTTTGTTTTCTTTTTTTTGTTGCTTTGATGCGGCGTGCATGTGTTTTTTGCCTTTGATGTGATGTACTACTGGTTTGCTCGTTTGGGAAAGAATCGGTGGAAATCAGGAGGTGGGATTCGATTGAAAAATAATCGGGACCAGCGGATCGTGCGATGGTGTGGAGATCGAGGGGAGTTGTGCGCGAACAACCGAAATAACTTAGGGGGTGTTTGGTTCCAGGAATTTTATGTTGGAACTAGAAAAAGTCTTTAACAAATCAAATAGAATGAGACCTTTTTAAGAATTTTTACTAAAAGTCTTAAAAGCATCTTCATGAGAATCTTTTTCAAAAAGTCTTAAAGACTAGAAAAAGACTTAAGACTAAAGAAGCAAACACCACCTTACGGAATCCCGAGGAGAGAATATGGTATTGATTGTCAAAAAAAAAGAAAACAAATTGAGGGTGAAATTTACATCCTACCCCTTTTGGCAGGGAAGATTAGGGCATCGAATTTTCCGGACTCCATCGTGGAGCAATGGCGGCGGCCGCGTCCGCTGAAGTTCCGATGCCCTTGGCCACCCCTGATCTTCCGCCGGCCCAAGGGCAGGAGAAGGGCCGTCCGCCCATGGTGGGTGCAGACTGGTCCTCCCTCCCATACGACCTCCTCCGCCGCATCGCCGGCTCCTTCCTCGCCACTAACGACGTGGACTGTTACGTGGACTTGCGCGCCGTATGCCACCATGCACTGGTGCTCCGCCGTCGACGACCCGAGGACCGACGCCTCGGATTCCCGGTTCCTCCCGCGCCCGTGGATCATCCTCGACGAGGAGCGACACCGCCTGTTGCTCAATACCTCCACCGGCCGATTCCTCCACAAGGAGCTCCCAGTGCTCCGCAATTACTACGTCGTCGCCACCACTCCTTGCGGCTTCTTCGTCCTGGCAGACAGGAGCCCTCCTCACGCCGCTCATGTCTTCAACCCTCTCACAGGCGCCATGATCAATTTCATGGCTCCCATGCCGCCTGAGGGCGAGGTTGCTGCTGCCGTCTGGTTTGGTTTGAAGGCGCCGGTGCCTTTGCCCAAGCTTACCTTACTCTTCGATTCATCTCGCAAGCAGTACACAGCCTTTCCCATCAATGAATGTTTCACCTCCATGGAGCATTCGGACATAACTTATAATTTCCTCCGGATGGCTTTCAGAGATGGTTTCGATGGCGACTGGCGGACATTAAGCAAATTATGTGAAGTGATTAACAGCATCGGTGGTTTGATGAAAGTGCATGATATTCAGCCGCCCGAGAAGTTTTTCTCTGGTGATCCTCTTGAGACGGGACATGCAAACGATGGCCGGTGTTTCCTTATGGAATTTGGAGGACAGCTGCTCATCATTGTCAAGCTACAGCGACTCGTTAGGGTTCTCAAGTTTGAGGCCACGAGTGATGAGCTTGTGCGTTTGAGGACCATCAGCAACTATGCCATCTTCATTGGTCATCAAAGGTGCCTCGCTATCTGCGCCGATAAGTTCCCGTCGGTTGAGCCAAATTGCGTCTACTACACCAAACACCGGGGTTCATCGGCGCGCATCTGCAGGTACAACCTAAAGGACGACAAAAGAGAGGTGATCTCTAAAGCCGATGAGTTTGTGAAGCAGGACAAGCAGTTTGTCCTCGCTGCTGACCGTCCTTTCACCATCATCCAGCTTCTCTCGAGCTACACCATCAATGTCCGGGATTCTGAACTGCCCGTACAACAAGTCACATAAGGCACCTTGACTTGTTGCACGCAAGATACATGTTCACTATAAATTAGATTGCTGCGGTTGAAGCGGAACTGCCACGTTGCTGTCTTAATTAAGAATTGGTTGAGCCCAATGTTCCATCTGTTTTGCTTGATGCTGGCTTGTGTCCGTGTGCACTCGTTCTTCTAGTATAATGCTAAGCAAATGCAATCTGGTGCTTCATTTCTCTGGCAGTAGAGCTCAGTTTGTACCAACTTCTAAATTTTGCTCCTGTTAAATTTGCAATGCCTTGTTCTAGGCAACTACTAACAGGTTTTAGATTTGCATACCGTTGTTCTGTAGTGGAATGCCATATTCCGAAGCCACGCTTAGAACAAGTTACATATGCGTTTCATCCATGTGAAGCACCCTTTGCAGCACTTTCTCTTGTAATCTGTTCTTTGTTGGATTTATGGGCATTACTGCAGAATGGTCCAACACATTTTGTAGCTCAAATGCAGTTAAGAATTAAAGACGTGCTTGGCACAATTGCAGCTCGCCGTTGCTGGTAAGAATTTAAGAGGTTCTTCGCATATATAAATTCCTGACACAATTTGTACGTAGTTGTTGTTTCCAGATTCAGATGTTCACATATTTTTGCCAGACTGGTGTTTTACGCTTGCATAGACTACATCCTATTCGGAGGACACAGGTGTTGATTAGATTTGATCGTAGCGCCATTCTTTTAGAATGAAGATAATAGTACGGGTGCATGCAGTTCATCACCCAGATTGCACTTAAGAACAAGAAATCAAACTTTCAAGGTAATTAAGAGCATGCAGATAGTTCATAGTAGTACGTAGTTGGAAGCATAGACATGACTGACCAGTTGGTGAGAGTCAGACTCACAGGTGATCCAAGGAACAGCAGGTGCATGGACATCTATACATTCTTCTTCTTCATACGGTGTGACTAGGCCTGAGGTGTGACACACAGTCAACAAACCAAGCCAAGTAGGAGTATCTACTCTACCCTCGAGGCAATTTGACGACGTCATTCGGCACCGTGCCAAATCAATTCACTCGGGCAATCATCGCCCTCGAGAAAGTCATTGATGGCCGACTCCCGCGAGCTCCTGATCACTCGGCAACACCAAGGCAAAGCACGAACTCGGCATCCTCAACGGCACAAGTTGGTTTCCTAACCAAATGGCCAAGTCCGACGAGTTAGGGCATCTCCAGCCGTTCGGCCCCCCAGGGCGCCTAAATAGAACGGCCTGGGGGCGTGCCGGCGCTAGTTCGGCCCCTGGGGGCGACCTAGCTCCCAGTCACGCCCCCAAGCGACGGCCCCAGAATGCGGGAAATTTAAACTTGGTCGTTCCCACTCTCAAACGACGCCACAAATCCAGCGATCGGACGTAGTCTGGCGTTATAAAAAACAGAGCGCCGCACGCCGCAAGTTCGCGTGCGCAATGATTCACTCGGCGGGGTCGGCTCCAGGCGTTGGCGGAGTCGGCGTGCGCGGGCTCGGCGGTGTCGGAGCTGCTTCGGTGCTGGGCTGTGTCGGCGCGGCTTCGGCACTGCTGGGCGGCGATGTAAAGGCGTCGTTCGGACTTGGCGTCCGTGTGGTCGTGGGCGCGGGAGCTTGCGTCGTCGGCGTTGCCGTCTGCATCTGGTTCAAGATGAGGCCGCGCTCCGCCATGTACCACGCCCTGGGCTGCTCGTCGTTGCTCTGGAGCATGTCCGCCCCGCCCATCAGAAAAGCTATGTCGGTGTTCCTCTTCTTCGCGGCGACGTTCGTCCGGAGCAGGTCGAGCTTGATGGCGTTATTCTTCATCAGCGACGACCACCGCGCCTCGGTCTTCTCTTCACGTAGGACGGCCCGGGCTTGGGCGTCGGCGAGGCAATGCTCGATGGACTCCTGCACTCGCGCGGTTGCCGCGTCGGCGTTTTTCCCCCTTCTTTGCCAATTTGTGGCCGTCCAGCCGCCCCTCTGACGCGCCCGGAGTCGTCCGTCCGGCTTGTATGTCTCCTTGGCCTTGTCGAGGGTACGTCGGACTTCCGCCCACTTCTCGCACTTGTCAATGCGCTTGTAGACGTGGAGGTGCTTGAAGTCGGCGTCTTGGTTGTCGCGCCGATACATGATGAACATACGCAGCAGCTGCGTGGAGGAACAAACAGTTGGCGGGTGGCGGGCGTTGACGACGAAGAGATGCGGGCGAACGGCGTGCGTACCTGATCCTCAATGCTGGCGCCGCTCTCCGGGCGAGCCGCGACCTCCTCGACGATTCCATGCCATTTTTTGCACGCCAACTGGATACGCCCCCAATAGTTTGCCATCGCCTTGGAGCCGAGCTGCATGTAGACGCATTTGAAGTACGGGTCGACGAGCTTCCGCTCGTCGAACTCGGCCTTGATGCGGTCCCAATACGTCTCCAAGCTCTGGTTCGCGCCAGTGGTCGGGTCGAGGCAGACGACTTTCCATGCTTCGGCGAGGCATTCCTCCTCCTTGGACGTCCACTTGATGCGCGGTTCGCCTGACCTAGCCGCCCGCTTCTTCTTCTTCTGGCACCCCTTCGTCGGAACAGGAGCCGGCTCCTCCTCCTCCTCCTCCTCCTCGTCCTCCTCCTCCTCCTCAGGTTCCTGCGCTTCGTGCGCGTCCTCGCCGTAGACGTAGCCGAGCTCGGCCTCCATGTCGCCGCTGAGATCCACTACCTCGTCCTGGGTGGCGAACCCGGGAGACGCGGCGGCCGCGGTCGATCCTGTCGCGATGATGTCGTCCATGTCGGCTCCTGTGTCGTCCGTGTCGCCGAGGTGCGAGAAGGGCAGCGGTCCACGGCGGAGATGGGGCGTCGGTGTGGACGCGTAGGCGGCGGGCGGCGTGTAGTTGTATGGAGGGTACTGCACGCCGACGAAGGCGGGCGAGGGTGTGCGCGTCGCGGGGTGGCCATGGGGGAAGGTCACATTTGGGTTGAACCCCCCGTGCGCTTCGCCGTCGGCGTAGCCGGGCGACGACGATCCCCATGGAGATCCGACGCCTTGCTGTCCCCAGGGCGCGTACTGGGCGTGGCTAACGACGGGTGGATTCATCATCCCCGCGTGGTCGACCGATGAGGAAGACGCCGCCGCACGTGCCGCGTTGTCGCGGGCCTTCTTGGCAATGGCCCTGTTCCGCCGGTCGGTGGTGACTGCGTCGCGTCGCTGAACTTTCACCCTCCACTCGACATTCGACATGCCCGGTGGCTTCAATGGCGGCGCCCTCGGCTTCCTCTGCTTCGGCTGGGCCACGGTGCCAGTCGTGGTTGCCGCCGCGCGCGGCATGGCGTACTTCTTCGGCGGCATGGCGGCGACTGGAAGGCAAGCTGGAGGGGGTTTGGCGGGAGAAAGGATGGGAATGGCGGGAGGAAGGCGAGCGAGCGGAAAAGATGCGAGGGAAAAGCGTCAAGAAGCGGCGGGAAAAGGCCCTCGGGTCGCCGCCAGGGCGGGCCCACGCGCCTTTTTCGCTTGTGCCGGCTCCCCAAGCGCCCCCCAGGGCGCCGGGTTCGGTCTGGGTCCGCCGGCACCAGTTTTGGCTCGAGCCGGCGAAAAACGGGCTTGTGGGGGCGCGACTGGGCCTTTTTTTGGCGCCGGCGCGACAAAATCGCCTGGGAAGGACCTGTTGGGGGCGCGGCTGGAGATGCCCTTAGTTCTCAAGATGACGATTGAAGGAACGCACCTCCTCAGGTCCATAGCTGGCAACGACCTACCAGGATAAGCCCAGACCTTCCTCGGCAACACTCAGAATCCCCACTAAGCATGCTCGGTGTCATTAAGTCTATTATAAGTTGTCTATCTCTAACCTCTTCAGGTACCTTTTCGAGTCCATAAAGGCCTCTCGCCTGGCCACCCAATGACGATTGCGGTCGGTTTCCCCACGGGAAATGTCGTGGCTTTGTCACGGCAGATGTCCTAGAGAAAGGACTTAGTCGTGGAGCCATCGCGACGGGTTAGCTTGAAGGGGTTAAAGCGGACACAGGGACGCAAGAGAGTTTATACTAGTTCGGCCCCTTCGATGAAGGTAAAAGCCTACGTCTAGATGTGATGGAATTGATGGGGTTTCGATGACTAGGGAGCAAACAAGCTTCGCCTATGTCTCAAGTTGTTGTCTATCTCTGAACCGCCGCCGGATCGTCCCCTTATATACACGGGTGACACCCGTCGGCTCACAGAGTTCTAACACCGGTCGATATTCGTATTCCGGGTTGGTCTCTCCTTATTCCTAACTTACAGTACAAGTTTATATACAAATCCCGGTTTATAGCTACAAGTCTTGAACCGGCTACGGGCCTTAGGCCCTCATCTGCCTTCTTGGGCTTTATCACTCTGGAACTACTGATGAAGTTGACCCGGCCCAGATAGGCCGGTTTACGCCCAGCAGTAATATCCCCAACATTAGGCCCCAGATTGATTTGAATGGGTTCATGTCAATCCTTTAACAAAAGCTTCATCTTCAACATCTTCTCATAAATTGGTAAACCACCATGATGTCATCTTCTCTGATTGCTGTAAACCGGAGTGACGTCACCTGTCATAACGAAGCTATCCATTATGCTTCTTTGTTTAATAGATCTGCGGAAATCGAGGCGACGGCTCCGTTTCGTGGCCCCTTGATTGTCGCGCCTGACACCTGTTCTTTCGCCTTATAAATAGGACCGAAGGGTCATTTCTTTTTTCCCCTTCATGCCTTTCTTCTTCATCTTCCTCGCGTCGCCAGCCTCGGAGCTCCGCCGCCGCCGTCGACCTCTGCCTCAACCTTGGCCGCTGCATCAACCTGGGCGCACCAGAGCATCACGGCAACCTTCCGCGTCTTCCTCAGCTCCGGTAAATCTTCTATCCTTTCCCCCGCAGATCTGACCTAGGGTTTCACAGTTCTTCAGTGTTCATCGTCTGCCTCTTGCTCATACGATAGATCTTTAGATGACTCCGCAAATCTTTATTGTGTGCAATGGTAGCTGTTTACCCTTCGCCTTCACTTACACATCTCAAAACCATAGATCTGTATGTACA